AATTTAATTTCTAAAAAGAATATTATTATTTATGTAAATAATTAAATCCCTATAAAAAATATTATTAGTTATAAAATTAATTGAATTATTGTAAAGAAATTTATAAAAAATTTGTAGGTAAATAATAATTTAATTCCTGTAAAATTTTTATTATTTATAAAAAAAATGAAATGTTTGTGTAGAATTTTATTAAAATTTGTTTTAAACAATTGAATTCTTTTGGAATTTTTTTTTTTAAGGGCATTTGAACCTTGATGACGTTACAGTTTGTGCAAAGCATGTGTGACGTCATCAAGGTTCAAATGCCCTTAAATAGTAGATTTTGAAAAACATTGAATTGAGTAAAATTTTTAAAAATAATTGAATTTCGGAAAATTTTATTATTCATAAAGATAATTGAAATTTTTACGAGAATTTTAAAAAATTGTTAAACTAATTGAATGTCTGAGATGAATTTTATTATTTTTGAAATTAATTGAATCTCTGTAAAAAATTGTATTATTTATCAAAATAATTAAATTATTTCGAAAAAATTTATAAAAAATTTGTAAATAATTGAATTGAGAAAAATTTTGGAAAATATTTAAAATTTTGTCAAGAATTTTATTAAAATTTATTGAAAAAAATTCAATTTCGGAGAAGAATTTTATTATTCATAAAAATAATTGAAATTATGACAAGAAATTTTATAAATTTTTTTTTAAATAATTGGATTTATGTGAAGAATTTATAAAAAATTTGTAAACAATTGAATTCCTGTAAAATTTTAATTATTTACAATAATAATTAAATGTTTGCGAATAGAATTTTATTAAAATTTTTTAAAATAATTGAATTTCGGAGAATTATATTATTTATAAAGATAATTGAAATTTTTACGAGAATTTAAAAAAATTTGTAATTAATTGAATTGCGGAATATTGTTTAAAATAATTTGAATTTCGAAGAGGAATTTTATTTTTTATAAAGATAATTGAAATTTTGATGAGAATTTAAAAAAAAATTTTTAACGTTAGTAATTTAATTTCTGCGAAGAATTTTATTACTTTTGAAAATAATTGAATTTCTGCAATCATTTGTAACTTCTCCAAAACTTAATTCTTTTTAGTGTTTTTAACTAAAATTCTTTTGGTATTCTGGAATTTTTCTGAATTTCGAATAACATTTTTGTAATAACTACTTTTGTTTGAAAATTTCAATTTTACTATAACCGAAGTAAAAATCACTAAAAATTATAGTAAATTTTACTTCGGACTTAGTGAAATTTCCTCCAAAAATTGTAAAATTTTCCATTAAATATTGCACCGGATGAAAAAGGGGAAAAAAGTAAAAAGATGGGGTTAGATAAAAAGATGTCCGTTTTCCCTGGGATTTCATTTGTCTAATTATTTTATTCTCTTGTTTTCGTAATTTTTTATTTATTATCCTTGTGCTGTTGTTTATATTCACCATTTAGATAACGGGTTTATTGTATAGAGATGATTTATACAAATATACACCCCCAACAACACTCAAGAATTGTGGGAAGTCATTTAACAGTTATATTTTAGTATTGAAATGACCTCTAAAGTCTTGTCTTGTCAAAGTCCAGTACTTATTTTCTTTTATTTTTTTTTTATATATTTTCCTTTTTCTTCGCTCGCAAATATGATAAGGATTGCAAAAACCGTTATTTATCTAGATGGACGACACCCTTTAAGAATTATATGTGTCAAGAGCATAATTATTTTTTTTTCCTATGACGTGAGTCCTGAATAAAATCTAACAATGTTCATTTATCAATAATGGTTTCACCTTTCAATAATAAATATCTGCCATGAAACATTAGATCGAGAATCATTATTTATTTATACATATATAGTAAAACACTTAATAAGATTCGCCATTTAAGGAAAAACAAAATCTTGTTTCTAACACCCGAATATGGTATTCAGTATATTATATAGGTGCGCAGTAATAATAACCCATCGTTCTAATTTCTATTCAGTAAAATTTCTAAATTACACTCCATTTTCCATTTTGAACCCATTATCCCGATTTATATATGTTGAGTTCATGATTTTTAACAAGAATCATTCTTATAACGATAAGTGAAAGTTACTTGACAATGACATAAAAAAAAAGAAAAGAAAAAAAAACTGCAATCAACTATGAAAACTTTATAATTGAAACGAAAGTCCATTTTTCATAGTGACGCTTCCGTTTGCAATATGTTTGAAGAAAACAAGATTAACTACGCAATAAATGACATTTTCAAAAGCGAAATAAAAAGAAATGAAAAGTTCTCTTTAATAAAAATAAATATTAGTTGTTCTCTAAATTTGGATTATTAGAATTAGTCATTTTAATTAAAGACTCATTTTTTGTTACCTAATTTAGAAGAGCAGAAAATTACAATTTCTATTTTTTTTACAAAAAATTTTACTAAAAATAAAAGTAAAATTTATCATTAAAAATATTTAAACATCTCTATATTAATAAATTAATAATCGCTGTATTCCGGTAATCTGTTTGCAGTTTGAAGTTAAATGTTTGTTTTTGCTTTTTGTTTCCCAATTATTTTGATAATTTTTCTCATTAATGTTTCGAATTTTAAAATTAATAAAATTTAATTCAATGCTTTGAAGATTCAAAAATACCAAAAATTAGTTAAACCAAATTTTTTATCAATTAAGAATATTTTTTTATATTATTTCTTACTTATTTCTTTTCTAATTTTGAATCTGCAAATAATTGAATTCTTACAAAGAAATTTATTCAATTTTTTCAAAATAATTAAATTCCTTGATAAAAAGGAAATTAAAATCTTTAAAAATAAGTTAATTCTTACGAAAAATTTAATTAACATAATATTAAAAATATTAAATTCTTATAAAGAGTTTTATCCAAATTTTTAAAAATAATTGAAATTTTACGAAGAAAGTTATAATTTTTAAATTAAAAAATTCTATTCTTAAATAATTGCATTCTTTATAAAAATTTTATTACATCTAATAAAATTAGTTTAAAATAATTGCAATTATTGAATTCTTTAGAGAAATATTATTAATTATGAAAATAATTGAAATCTTAGTATGAATTTTATCGAAATTGTATTAAAAATAAGAGAATTCTTATAAAGAAATTTACCAAAATTGTTCAAAATAATTTAATTCCTGCAATAAATTTTATTATTTAGGAAAAGAATTTAATTTTTTCAAAAAATTCAATGAAAATTTTTTTTTCTAATATGAATGTTATTAAAATTTTTCAAAATATTGAAATTAAAGTTTTTCGTAAGAATTTTATAAAAATTAATTCAATTCTCATAAATAATTTTATCAACATTTGTTTTAAATAATTGAATTTATGCGAAAAATTTTATTAAAATTTTTTTTAATTAATTAAATTCCAGCGAAAAATTTTATAAAGTATGAAAATAATAGAAATCTTGTTAAGAATTTTATTAAAATTTTCGAAAATAATTGAATTTTTCAAGAGGAATTAAATTAAAATTTTATTGACAATATTTCAATTCTCATAAAGAATTTAATCGGAAGTTTTGAAAATAATTGAATTTTTGAAAAGAATTTTATCAATTTTCTAAAAATAATTGAATTCTTTTGAGATAATTTTATCAAAATTTCTCAAAGTAATTGAATTTCTGCGAAGAATTTTATTGCGGAATTCTTTAAAGTAATAAAATTCCTGCAAAAAATTTTATAAATTTTGAAAATAATTGAAATTTTGCTAAAAATTTTATTAAAATTTTCGAAAATAATTGAATTTTTTAAAGAAATTTAATTAAAATTGTTTTGTCAATTTTTCAATTCTCATAATGAATTTAATGGAAATTTTTCCAAATAATTGAATTTTTGCTAAGAATGTTATCAATTTTTAAAAAATAATTAAATTCTTTTGAGAAATTTTATTAATTATGTGATAATAATTCAATTCTCACAAACAATTTTATCAAAATTTTTCAAAATAATTGAATTTATGTGAAGAATTTTATTTAAATTCTTTTAAATTAATTAAATTCCTGCGAAAAAATTTACAAATTATACGAACATAATTGAAATCCTGCTAAGAATTTTATTAAAATTTTCAAAAATAATTGAATTTTCTCAAGAAATTTAATTAAAATTAAATTAAAAATATTTCTATTTTCATTGAAAATTTTATCAAAATTTTTCCAAAATAATTGAATTTTTGCGAAGTATTTTATCAAATTTTTAAAAATAATTGAATTCTTTTGAGAAATTTTATTAAAATTATATTGAAAATAATTAAACTCCTGGTGAAGAATTTTATTAAAATTTTTGTAAACTATAAATAATTAGTAATTAATTATTAAATAGTTAAAAATTGAATTTTTCAAATTTTGTATCTATTTTGTAAAATTGAAATTAATACCTGTTTGAAAATAAATTTTTTTTTAAAATTATGTATAATAATAATAAATAAAATACCGCGTGATGTGCACAGGCTAGCGTAACATTTGTTAGTTAATAAAATAATATTATAAAAAATTTATCATTAAGTAAATAAGCAAGTTGTTACTTTTTTTTTACTTTTAATTATTCAAAAAAATTAAAATGTAAAAATTCTATTAAAATAATTAACTAAATATATTAGTTTTGAAAGTTATTAGTTCCTGAAGTTATGTTCTATATTTATTTATATTTAATATTTATTCGTTAATTGAATTACGCATTAACGGAAGCACTTACGAATTAAAACTTTTTTTCAATTGTATAGCAAACATATCGATAATAACACTCAATTTTTAAAAATAATTATTAATTTGCGGAAATATTTCCGAATTTTGTAATAAGATTCTTCCGTAATTTCGTTAAAAGTTAAAGTAAATGTAATTAACTTTCAATTGGACATTCGCGCGCGCAAAAAAAGAATAGTCACTTAAAATTTAGTTCACGATTAGTAAAGACGGGAAATGCTTGAATATTCTTAAACGACCTTAGAATACATATATTATAAATAATGAAACATTGACTTACCATTTTAATAGTTTCCGTGCGAAAAATTTTCTGCAAGCCAGCCTGTTCAGCCTCGTGATTTTCATGTTGTACTCGCAACTCTGCTGTTCTCGATTTTTCAGCTTCTGTTGCAATCTGCAAAAAAATGAAAACAATAATTTATAAATAAATAGTTGAACAAAAAGGATGTTTATAAATTTTTTAAATACTTTCACGTAAATTCTTCTGTAACCAAATTTTTGTATTTTTTGTATTATTTAAAAAAATTTTTAATTAAAATTATTAAAGAAACTCCATTATTTAAAAGGAAAATTCAAAGAAATTCTTCAAAATGAATTTAATTAGAATTTTCATGAATTTTAACAAAATTCTCCACGAGAATTCAATTATTTCCCTAAATAATAAAATTCTTCAAAGAAATTCTATTATTATCAAATTTTTTGATAAAATTCTTTGCAACAATTCGCTGATTTTCAATACATTAATTTTAAAATAAAGAAAATATTTAAAAAGAAAAATATATTAAATAAATAAAGAAATAAAAAAGCATGCAACAACTAACTTCAAACTGCGAACAGATTACCGGAAGACAACGATTATTGATATAGAAGATTAGTTGATTTTCTTTTTATTGAATTCTAATATATCGTTGAGTCAAAAAACGCGAGTACAAAAGAAAATTATTTGATTCAAATAACCGATTTTTTGTCTATATTATCAAATAAATATTCACTGAGAAAACAATATATTTGAATCAAACATTCTTTGTTATGCAGCAATTTAATATTTTAGCATTTGGCTAAAATAGTGAAAATTTTCAGAAGTTTGAGGTAAAGATTCCTTTTCCTTGTGGTATATATATATAAATAACCCTAATTTGTCTGAATTGCGATTAATGAAAACAGGAAACATAGTAATTAGTGCAAGACAGAATTGTTTCTTTCAATAGTTGATTTTCCCATGCCCTAGTACACGGTACCAGGGTCACAACAATGGAACGTATAATCGAGTTAATTTATTATCGTCACCAACAAGATAGTAATGCTGAAAACCTGTTGCGGAATCAAACACCATTTGCATGTTACATATTAGTGAATGTGAATAATTATTATCTTATCCGACACTTTTGGAATGCGAAGGATCATAAGAGAGTATATACATATATATAGCCTATTCTCTATATCAAACAGTGTCTGAAAATGCATTCCAGTCGATCAGTCTCTCTGATATAATATGTATATACACTTATATTGTATATATAAACATTCAAAAGCCCGACTATATACAACATAATAATTTCTAACAGATCAACGGCCTTGAAAAATTTTACACAATTTTCAACTTTTTCCTGTATATCACTAAGTATCAGACGTAAATATGTTAATTGTTAAAATAAATTTTCTTCTATCGCTGCGAAAAAAATTTTTAACAATAGTGACATACATTCACTATTAACACTGTTTTCTGTTCATTACACAATAACTTTTAAAGACTTGTTAAACGCACTCCGAAGAATGGTACCTAAGAAGCCTAAAAAGCTTCTTAGGTAACAAGAACGCTCCAAATTGATGACAAAAACCCAAATTTGATAATCGCTTCCAAAAATTGTTAAAAAAAATTGTCATGATCCTTTCCTTGATTTCTCTCACCAATTCTACTTTCTTTGACTTTTCCTTGACTTCCCTGATCGTATATTTTAATTTTAGACTCTTCTTCACAAAACCCCAACTCGATTCATTATTTTATACTAGAAAACTAATTTGCGAATTACAATGTGACGACTGCAGCGATCACTTGATTCAATTGTCACATTCTGTTATAAGTGAACGATAACTATAGGACATCGACAGTATTATATTGAACATCTCAATTTAATGACCCTCGTTAAAATTTAAATTTAAAAAACACATCCTAAAACCGGGCATTTGAACCATTATGACGTCACAGTTAGTGGAAAGCATAATGTTCTAAAACTATGACGTAATAATGGTTCAAATGCCCTTAAGGGCAAGTCAGAGTGGAACCGAATAAACCGATCATTGTAGCTCAGCTTAATAATCGCATCCGACTTTGACACCCCCTTAATTACTATACATACGTTTAGTATTATAATAATTAAAAGAGTGTCAAGTTTTATGTTTAATAAATTATAAAAATTAGCATTTTTGTTCCCCTTTTTTACCTGAAATTCGAGTACGAAAGTACATAAACTCGAAATTAGTGAAGCGTCTTGCTAAAAAAAATAGCAATTCGCCGCACATAATGCCACGGTGTAAAAAGGATTTATAACATAACCGTCAACGTTATGCGACAACCGTAAACCGTTACCAACATTCATGAATGCGAGTGCTCGCGGAAAGAATAAGAAAGTCGGCGGTATGATTGGACGAGTATAGTTTCATAAGTTTTTAAGAAGAAAAAAAAGTACATTTCCAATGAAGAAGTCGCTTCATCAATGCGTATATATCCCGATGTGAAAATATCGAAATGACCAAATAGAGGAAGTCGCAAAAGAAATGCCTAGATAATAGCGCTCGTTTACCAGTTTTGTCATAAAAGAAATAAAACTAGATGTATTCTTGTGTGTGTTTTGTGTATTTTGTGTGTGGTCAAAACCACGCCTGCGTGTGGTCTTTCAGCTCTACTCTCGCCGACAAATAATAATCACACCAAAGGCGTCCGTTACCGACACATGTATAAATTTAGAAAACGTAAAATAAATTTTTATTTCAATTAACGTAGGGATTTTTTTCTTTTGGATTTTAATTAGATTTGACAGCAACTATCATAACTAAAACGAGGTTTTTACCTTTTTTTCGTTATATTACTTACTGTAACTTAAAAGCATAGAGGAACTGTAATTATTTAATTTAATTAATCACCTTGTCTTCTCTAGTTTCTATCCAGTTTCTATCTAGTTCCACTCATTGTTGTTTGTTATCTAGTAGTTTTTATCTAGTTTTCGATCTAGTTTAAATAATTTTTTTCAGATTATAGGACAAAAAATCCAATCTAAAAAATCTGAATCGAAAAATCCAAGAAACAAGTCCAAAGTACAAAAAAATCCAAAATAAAAAAATTCAAAATAAATCAAAGCGTTCTAAATAAATAATGAAACACGTGAAAAAGCCACGTTTTTACTTATTACGCTATAATATCGGAATTTAAAATGTTAATGTTAAAATCGCAGGATTTTTACTATTTTTCCGGATACATTTTTTTCAGTTTCATTCTACCTGCATTATTTTTAATTCAGTAATTAATTAATTAACTAAAAAAATTTTAAACTAGATAGAAATTAGATAAAAAGTACCTTAAAATAAAAAAAAAAACTATTTAAAACTAGCTAGAAGCTATTTGATATAAACTGTCATTAACTATCATTGAATAGAAAAACTGCTTTTTTAAACATTTAATAGGGTAAGTGTACCAATTGCCGAGGGTGTTCCATTTGTCGATGTTACCATGGTAATAACCAAAAAATATTGTCTAAAATGTCTCATTTGTTTGTTTATATAATATTAATATATTTTTTTCACATTTATAACGCATAAAAAAATTAATATTTATTACTTTTTTTGATTTACAATGTGCTACACTGTTTAAATAAAATTCAAAGTTTGTTTACTCGACAACAGGAACCATCCTCGACAATTGGTACGTTTACCCTATGAACTGCAATTAACTAAAATAATATAATTTAAACAAGATTACTGTCAAATAAAAAAATTGTTTTTAAAATTAGAAACTATTTGATACAAACTAACATTAATTATAAAAATTACTTAAACTAGACGTAAACTAGAAACTACCGTAAAATAAACAAAACTATTATTTAAACTAGACAGAAACTAGAGAGAAAATATTTAAAATAATCTATACCATTTAAAACTTGTTGGAAACTATTCGACACTATTACAATCTTAGGGGCCATTCAAGTATTACGTAAGCATATTTTTCAGGTTTTTAGACCCCCCCCCCCTCCCCCATGTAATATTTTTTAAATGCATTAGCGCCATTTTTTCTAATGGAAATAAGCAATAGCTAGACCCCCCTCCCCCTTAAATGCTTTAGTAATACTTGAATGGTCCCTTAGAAAATTATTATTTATACTAGATAGAAACTAGATAGAAACTAGAGAGAAACTTGATAGAAACTAGATTAAAACTAGTTAATAAAAACTACCATCAACTAGAAAACCTATTGTTTTAAACTAGAGAAAAATTAAAGACAAAATTGTTGATACCATCAATTCGAAAACTACTATTTAAAATTAGTTACAAACTATTTTATATTATCTAAACTAGTTATAAACTAATTTATAGAAACTCCTATCTACTAACAGACCCTTTTGTTTTTAACTAGATAAAAACTGGTTTTAAGAAACTACTGTAAAATAAAAAAAAATATTACTTAAAACCAGGGAGAGAAACTACTATTAACTAAAAATACTTTTTTTTAAACTAGACAGAAACTAGATACAAACTGTTTGATGGAAACTACAATCAGCTTCAGATACTATTATTTTAACTGAATGAAAATTAGACAAACAATTTTTAACAGACTAAATAGAAACTATATCAGCAATTAAAAAACTTGTTATTTATAAACTAGATATAAACTAGGTGATCGAAATTATTAGCAAGCAAAAAAATATATAAAATTAAACAAAAACTACCCTAACTAAAAAATTATAATTTCAAATAAAAAAAAGAATTTTATACAAACTGAAATTAACTAAATTACTCAAACTAGTACAAAATATTACTCAAACTAGATAGAAACTGGATAAAAACTAGAAAAAAACTCCAAAAAAACTAGTCGATAAAAACTAAAAAAAATTAAATTAACATCATATATTAAAGATCTTATTAATAGAAGCACTATTTATGTTTGTTCAATACATATATATTTTCCCGCTCGTTTACTACTTCATTCGACTATATTCCCCGTGAATAATGATCTCAATAAATTTCCTTTAATTTCTCGATAATACATACTAATTTTGAGGAAAGGAAATATCACTAAATCTCACACCGAATTGAAAGATACAAGGGAAGATAAAAAAGTGTTTGAAAAAACGCCGAAGAAATAGAGACCACACTTGATTATCTGGTATTTCTTTTTTTTTTTCTTTTCTTTTTTTTCGGGGGAAATTTATTACGGACAGAGAACGAGAAGTCATTTATATAAATGTGATTGACAAAAATCGATAAACTATTTCCTGTTTTCTAGATTTCCTTTCTGATTAAAATTCTTTTTAACTATACCGAATAATAGATATATTTTTTTTTGTTTCTAAGTACTGTGTATATATATCTATTATTTAAATTCGAAGACTCAACATTTCAAATTACTCTTCTCTATTTCAATTTTTTTAACTTTATATATTTATTATTTTTTAAATTAATTATTAAAAATGATTTATTTAACATTATATTATTATTTTTTTTTAACATTATATTTATTATAATTATTTTATAATTATTTTTCATTGATAATTATGATTTGAAATCAACAAAAAAAATATTATTTAAACTAGATGAAAACTAGTTTATAGAAGTTACCATCCACTAAAAAACATTTACTATAACTTTGAAAAATTTTATTATTAATTACTATTATAATTATTCTACTATGCTTTTTTATTAAATATAATTTTATAATTTTATTGTGAATAAAATTATAATAATTATTTAACAATAATTAATAACAATGACTTTTTATCTACAAAAAATAATAATTATTGATCATTAAAAAATATATTTAAGCAGAATAATTATTGTTCTTTTTCTGTATTCAATAATGCTTAACATTTTTTTATTGTTTACAAATAAATATATATTATAAAAATAAAATATTTTTAATCATTTATATAGGGGAATGTAGTCAAGGTTGGCCTACTGTCTAGGTAGGCCACTCGCGTTTTTTTGTCAAGTTCACTAGCGCCACCTACGCGCATTTTTGTCGAAGCTTGTCTTAGTGAAACCTAACTTTTTGTTCAATTACATTTTCGGAAAATCGAAAATTGTGTTTTCTGTGACGTCGGTACAAAAAAAGCTCAAAAAAAGTTTTGTGCATAATGTGAAAAACCATTAATAAAAGATAAAAAACAAATTGAATCGTCAAGGCAAGTATGCAGAAAATTTGTGGGACTCATGGTTGAAAGGAAAACAAAGTAAAAAATCGAATCCCGAAACGTATTTCTTTATGGTTACAACAATTCGGTAATGTTACTTACTGTCAAGGTCGGCCACTATGTGTTTAAAATGCGCAAAGTTGAGGACGAGCTACTTCATTTGCAAAAACTGCAATTCTGTATAACTCATAATATAATTGATCATCTTATTAATATTTTTATTTAATTTTATTAATATTTTAGTGCAAAACTTTTTTTTATTTATATTTATTTTTTTATATTGTTTATTGTTATTATTTTGTTATTTCATTAAGTTACAAACTGTAAACAATAAAGAATCAATTTTCCGTAACTCCAAACATGTTATTTTATTTTTTAACGATTAATGCCCTTTGAATTTTAAACATGGCCGACCTTGACTGTAATGGCCAACCTGGACTACAAATTTTTTTTTTTTTAAATCTTTATAACTTTTTCATTTTTAAACCTGTCAATTTACTTTGTACAGAAAAAATGTTCCTATTAAACAGGACTTTCCAACCATATACTTCAATTGTCCAAATTCATTTTTAAAAAAAAGTTATAAACAAAAGTCAAAAAGGTGGCCGACCTAGACTATGTTCCCCTACAAAATATAATAATCGATTTAATATAGAATTAATTAAAAATAAAAAAAATAAATTAACTAGTGTTAACAAATTAAAATTAATAATAATTATTACGAAGTTATAGCTTAACAATAATTATTATTAATAATTACTATTGTAATAATTACTATTATTATATTGTAATAATAATTATTATAATAAATTCTTTTTTATTATTAATAATTTCGTAAATATTATTCTGAAATTTTTTTTTTGTTGGACAAAATCTTCAAATAAAAAAGAAAACCTAAGAAATTTTATTTACCTGCGCAAAAAATTAAAAAACACTGTGATCTTATTTTTATGTCACTGACCTTTAGGAAATTGAAAACACTACTAAAATTTAGTTTTCTTTTCTTTGAATATTTAATTTGCAGTAACTAAAAGATATTGTCATTGAAAACATTATTGACCTCTGCATTGATCTCTAAACACTATTATTTACATTTACCACTTTGACTTATATTTATTGCACGATGAAAGTGTATAGTAAGAGATAAAAATAATTTAAAAAAAAAGAAATAATAAATTCTATCTCTCAGATCAATTATTGTGAAAAATAAATTATCAACACTTTATATGTCGCAAGTGGAGTAGAAATTTGCCTCGAAACGAAATTAATTTTTTTTCTATTTTTGTTGTACTATTTATTTTTACTTTTCTTTCACTATTTTTGATCCTTTTCTATTTTTCATAAATCCTTCAACTTTTCCAAATAAATAAATAATCAATAAATAAAATAGAATAAAAAATACCAAAAATATAAATAAAAAAAATTTTTCAAAAAATTAAAAATAAAACTTACTTGTAATTTTTCCTCGAGCTTCTTATTGGCGGCCCGTAAACTTTGAACTTCAATTTCTAATTTATGAAGGTCAATCGATGAATTTGAATCAATTTTTCTTCGTTTCATTGAAACGCCAGTTGTCAATGAATTTGTTTTCAATTTTTTTATTGTCGTTTCGGCCTCGACTAATCGTTTCTTTAATGCTGAGAGTTCACGACGATGATTCTCGTCTTTTAGAAACTCCACCTTCGAGGAAACAAGAGTGGCCTCTGTCACTGAACGAGAGGGAGATTGAGAGAGCCTGGAAAAAAAAGGAGAACAACATTGCTCGTACAAAACACACGATTGACACTATTGCATAACTAGAACGAGAACGATTAAACTTCGAAACAAAATGGCAATTGTAAATTACTTTTCTCATTAAGTCAATGTAATTAAATCACTGCAAATTATTCAACTGAGTAATTTTTTATGAACTAAAATAAATAGTATTTCCAAAAAAAAAAAAGAAAATTACTCTCGACTATAAAATTTTACATTTATACTAAAATCATTTTACATTTACTAGGTAATTCAATCTACTGATTAAATAACGATTAGAAAAACAAATTAGAAGAACAAAAATAATGAAACATAAATTAAATTTAATAACTGAACTTAAATTTCAATAATTATTTGTTTCTATAACTTATTATTTCAGGGATCACAGTAGTATCTTTTTTCTTTAAAATAGATGAAAACGAGAATTTTTTTTCGCGAAATTAGTTAGCAAAAAGGTGACGTAAAGAAAATTAACTAATTTGTATTTAAATTATTGAATTTTTAATAAATAAATAGAGCTTAAATAGTTTAAAATTTGGATAATTTGGCACTTGAATTGATTAATCTTTAGACTGATAGAAATTTCGATAAATATAAAGTTCCAACGGATTTAATTTAATTTTTTAATTTAAGATTTTAATGAATTAAATTTAAAACCAATTAAAAATTTTAACTTTGTTTTACAGAATAAAAATTAAATAAAAGGTGGCTCAATTGCAATTGATTAGATTTTAATTAGAAAATTCTACGAGAATTGAAATATTTGACTACAAAAAATCAAAAATAAACAATTTACCTATTGAAAAATTGAATGTTTTTTAAAATTTAATTTTTAAGAAGAATTTTATTAAGAACTTTTGAAAATAATTAATTTCTTTTAAGATATTTAATTAAAATTTTATTAAAATTTATTATATTAAAGAATTTTATAACAATTTTTGAAAATAATTGAAAATTTTTTGAAGAATTTTATTAAATATTTTTGAAAATAATTGAATTCTTGAGAAGAATTTAAATAATAATTTATTAATATCATTGAATTCATGCGAAGAATTTTATTACATTTTGGTTAAAAAATTAAAATTTTGCCAAGAATTTTATTAAAATTGTTGACAATAATTTAATTCTTGAGATGAATTTCGTTATATATTTATAAATATAATTGAATTCGTGACGAGATATTCGTTAAAATTTTTAAAAATAATCTAATTTCTGCAAAGTATTTTATTACTTTTCAAAAGAATTGAATTCTTGTGATGAATTTTCATATTTATCAAAATAATTGAATTTCAGAAAAGAATTTTATTAAAATATCTTAAATTTTTATGGAAAGAATTTTGTTATTTATCAAGATAATTGAATTCTTTTGCAAAATAACGTAAAAATTTTTAAAAATAATTTATTTTCTGCCTTGAATTAATAAAGCTATTTATGAAAATAATTGAATTATTGCAACGAATTTTATTATTTTAATGAATAATTTAATGTTTCTTAAAATTGAATTCTTTAGTCAAATTTTAATAAAATTTTTAAGAATAATTGCATTTTTCGAGGAATTTATTTAAAATCGTATTAAAAATATTTGAAATTCTGCGATGAAAATAATTGAATTTCTAAATGAAAATTTTATTATTTATGAAAATAATTGAATGTTTTCGTAGAATTGTATCAAAAAATTTTTTCAGTAATTAAATTATTTGATAAATTTCATGAAAATAATAAATATTGAAAATCATTGAATTGCGAAAAACTTTTGAAAATAATTGAAATTTTGTAAAGAATTTTATTCAAATTTTTGAAAATAAGTGAATTTTTGTCGAAAAATTTTGCTATTTATAAATATGATTGAATTCATGACGAGATATTCGTTAAATTTTTAAATATAATTGAATTTCTTCCAAGAATTTTATTATTTTAAAAATAATTGAATTCTTGTGATGAAGTTTGATATTTATGAAAATACTTGAATTTTGGAAAAGAATTTTATTAAAATTCCTTAAAATAATTGATTTGACAAGAAGAATTTTGTTGTTTATCACAATAATTAAATTCTTTTGTAAAATTACTTAAAAATGATTGAAAATAATTGATTTTCTGCGACGAATTAAATGTTATTCATAAATTATAATAATGAATTATCATAATTCATAATTATAATTATTATTATTATTATTAATAATTATTCATAAATAATTTAATTATTGCAACGAATTTTATGATTTCATTGATTAATTTAATGTTCCTTAAAATTGAATTCTTTCGCCAAGTTTTAATAAAATTTTTAAGAATAATTGACTTTTTTCGAGGAATTTATTTTAAATTGTATTAAAAATATTTGAAATTCTGCGATGAAAATAATTGAATGCCGAAATAAAATTATATTATTTTCGAAAATAATTGAATATTTACGTAGAATTGTATCAAAAAGTTTTTTCAATAATTAAATTTTATGAAAATAGTAAATAGCTATTTAAAATCATTGAATTGCGAAAAACTTTTGAAAATAATTGAAATTTTGCAAAAAATTTTATTAAAAGTTTTTGAAAATAATTTAATTTTTGGCGAAAAATTTTAGTATTTACAAAGATAATTGAATTCATGACAAAATATTCGTTAAAATTTTTGAAAATAATTGAATTTTTGGGATGAATATTGTTATTTATGAAGATAATTAAATTTTGCAAAGAATTTTTATTAAAATTCCTAAAAATAATTGAATTTCTGTGAAGAATTTTGTTATTTATCAGAAGATAATTTTGCATTAAAACTTTTGAAATAATTAAATAATATTAAAAAATCGATTCTTGTTAGAAGTAGACAAAAATTTTGAAGGTTTTGTATTAGAATTTGTGTCAATTTCATAGTTTATGAGGCAAACTAAAAAGACACCAAAATTCAGAATTTTCTTATGAATTCTAAAAACTAAATTTTTTCCAGTAATTTTAATAAAAATCCCTGACTTTTTCCTGATTTCCCTGACCAATTTTAGTTTCCCTGAATTTCCTGACCTGTGGCAACCCTGTGACATATTTTCTTAATATTTTCCTCATTTTTCAAACACTTTATTAAGGACCAATTTTGTTTAAAAAAAAAATGTTTACTATTTACCTGACTTTAAGATCGGATATGATCTGTTGATTTTTCGCAGCTTCCGTGACTCGAGCGTCTCTTATCGCAGTTTCCAGGTCACGTCTCACAAGTTTTGCGGCTTTTCGTTCTTCATGAAGCTCCGATCTGACCGCGGCTAAATCTTCCCTCATCCTTCGTGCACCTTCCTCCAACCACTGTATCGTCTTCCTCAGTCTCGTCACATCATCCACTTTCTCCGTCTTTCGTTTACAACACAATTTTGATCCTGCATCCGGCGGCTTTCTATGAAGACCAGAAACCGCCTTATCTTTCGATAAATTTAAAGCCACATCTTCCTTTTTGTTTGTCTCATCTTCGCCAAGAATCCCATCCGATGACACTGCTGGAGTCACATCACTTCCGCTATTTGGCAACGGCTCCTTTTCAAAATGATCATTTTTGGAATTCTCGGTATTCGAATTTAATAATTCATCGCAATTTTCGTTTTCTGTTTCATTGTCATTATCGTGTGTTGCAGAATCATTATTTTCCTGTTTTTCTTTACGATTTTTAATAATTTTATTTTTCAATTCTTTGCAGAGTGAATTGATGGACGCTGATAGTGGTCTCTTTAACGATCGTCGTTGAATCTCGTCAGCATCGTTAAAGTGAATCCGTCGACTATTTGCGGATAAATCTTCGTGTCGAGGCGTTTTCCTGGGAATCTCCATTTTTGACGATGGTGGATCAATTTGTCGTCTTTTTCTCGTCACGGATTTCGATTCGGTCCGTTCTTGATTGCGACGATTGTCATCCGTCAAGGTCAATGGATCCCCAGTCGTTTCTGAACTCGTGTTCGTCGCGATGACGGTGTCTCCCGCTGATGAATTCATAGTCTCTTCTGTAACATAAATTGAAACAAATTTTTTTCAATACTTTAATTAAAATGATACGAAATAAATTTTTTAAGATAAAATAAATTATTTAAAACTGTTTAAAGTAAATTATTTAAAACCAACAAATAATACAAGCGCGGAATTATTATTATTATTCAAAGCTTTTAAAAAAAATTTTCGCAAGAGTTTCATTATTCTCATAAATAATAATATTTTTTAGAGCAATTCAATTATTTTCAATACAATTTTAATAGAATTTCTCTAAAGAATACAATTATTTTTAAAAATATTAATTAAATTCGATTATTTTCAAGAATACTGATATTAATTCAATTATTTTCGACAATTTTGATGAAATTCTTCTAGAAAAGTCATTATTATCAAAATTTTTAATAAAATTCCTTCAAAAAATTGAATTATTTTCAGAATTCAGATAAAATTCTTCGAAATTATTCAATTATTTTTATGAATTTGTAAAATCCTCCGCAAGAATTCAAATTACTATCATAAATAAGAATATTCTTCGCAAGAATTACAATATTAACATAAATAATCAAATTCTTAAAAGAAATTCAACTATTTTCAATAAAATTTCTCGAAAGAATACAATTATTTTTTAAAATATTATTTAAATTCAATAATTTTCAAGAGTTTTAATAAAAATTCAATTATTTTCAACAATTCTGAAAAAAATTCTTCGAAATAATTCAATTATTTTCAAGAGTTTTAATAAAAATTCAATTATTTTCAACAATTCTGAAAAAAATTCTTCGAAATAATTCAATTATTTTCAAGAGTTTTAATAAAAATTCAATTATTTTCAACAATTCTGAAAAAAATTCTTCGAAACAATTCAATTAGGTATTTTTATAAATTGTAAATTTCTTGACAAGAATTAAATCATTTTTGTAAATAATAAAATTCTTCTAAGAAATTAAATTATTTTCAATACAATTTTAATAAAATTTCTAGGCAAAAATTCAATTATATTCAAAATAATTTTTATAAAATTTCTCTAACAGGTTCAATTATTTTTAAAAATTGTAATAAAATTTTTCTGAACAATTCAATTATTGTTCTCAAAAGTTTTAAATAACATTCTTTGTAAATTTCAATTATCTTCAAAATTTACAATTAAAATTATTTAAAAAAATTACATTATTTTTACGAAATTTAATGAAATTTTTTTTAAAAATGTATTTATTCAGGTACAAAAACTCTAAGAAAATTGTTTAAAAGAATTTAATTTTCTATCAATAATTTTAATACAATTTAATAGGAAATTTATTAATTACAATTCATAATAAACACGATTTTTTTTTAAAAACTTAAAAGAAAATCTTTATAAAATTCAATTACTTTGAAAATTTTCAGTAGAAATTTACTTAAAAAAAACTCCATTATTTCCAAGAAAATTGAAATAAATTTTTCATAACAATTCAATTATTTTAAAAAATCTTAATAAAAATCTTGACAAAAATTAAATTATTTCCAATACAATACAATACAAATACTTTACAAGAATTCAATGATTTTCAGTACATCAACAATTTAATAATTTCTGAAAATAATCGAATTCTTCAATAGAATTTTATTAAAACTTTTTAAAATAATTGAATCCCTGCGAAAATTTCATTATTTTTAAAAATAATTGAATTCTTAAATTGGATTTTATTAAAAGTTTGTTGAATAATTGAACTCCTGTGAAAAATTCAATTATTTTTTTTAAATAATTGAATTTTCTCAGAGAATTTTTATACAAGATTTTTAAAAATAATTGAAATTTTCGAAGAAATAAATTAAAATTGTATTGAAAATAAAGTGAAATCCTGATAAAAATTTTATTATTTATATAAAAATAATTGAATTTTTTTTACGAAGATTTTCATTATTTATAAATTGACTAAAGAATTTTATCACAATTATTGAAAATAATTGAATTCTACATAAAATTCAATTATTTTCAAATTTTTTTATAAATACTTTACAAGAATTCAATGATTTTCAGTACATTAATTTTTACATTTTAAACATTTAAAATAAAAAATTATTTAAAAAGTTAGGAAACAAAAAAGCAAACAACAACTAATTTCATAATGCGAACAGATTACCGGAATACAACGATTATTAATATAGATTTAAATATAGATTTAAATTTTTGTTGAAAACACTACAAAAAATTCAATTTTGGGAGAAATTACAAATAATTGCAGTAATTCAATTATTTAAAAAAAAAATTCTTTTTATAAAATTCAACTATGTTCAAAATTTGAAAAAAATTCTCTTAAAAATTCCAATTATCTTTATAAATAACAAAATTCTTCTCCAAAGTTCAATTATTTTCATAAATTTCAAAAAAATTCTTGTCATAATTTCAATTATTTTCAAAAATTCTTCTAATTTCAATGATTTTCAATATCTAAGATTTTAATAAAATTTCCCAAAACGAATTCAATTATTTAAAAAAAATTTTAATAAAATTGTATGCAAACATTTAATTATTTTCATAAATAACAAAAATTTTACAGGAATTCAATTATTTTCATAAATAATAAAATTTTTTTAAGGAATTCAATTTTCACAAAAAATAATTTAAAATTCTAGAAAATAATAATTGAATTAAAATAATGAAAATAATTTTGATGAAGTTACAGTAAAATAAAATTCTTATAATAAAAAATAATGATTTTATCTCTCGGTCATCTTTAATTATTAGAAAACATGAAGAAATCGATCACTCCGAGTCTTCGACTCGGAGCAATCGATATCTTCATGTTTTATAACAAATATTTTATAAGTTGTTTAATTTAAAAAAGATTTAAATTTGAAATTTTTGAATGTCTTAAATCATGTGAAAAATCCTGTTCCAAAAATAAAATTAAAAATATGAATTGTGCAAAAATTTTTCTTCTTTTTCTAAAACAAAATAATAATTTTGTTTAAAAAATCGTGATTCATAAACAAAAATAATGCAAAATAAATAAATTTTCTATTTCTTATTCACAGTTGTTTAACAATTTTCTAATTTTGTTTAGAAGTAAAGAACAAAAATCTGCATAATTTAAATTTGACAAAACATAATATTTAACAAAATTTTAGTCTTTTAATGAAAAGAAATGAAAAAAATTCTGATTATTTCTATTTGTCATTACAATTTTAAATTAATTATAAAATAAAAATAATTATAATAATATAATATACAAATCTAAACATAACAAAAAACAAAAATATACACAAAACACAACTTCAGAGTGTGAGGGACAGAAAAAGTGAATGAATGAAAGAATTATTATAGTTAATTTTAAATTATTTTAAATAAAATGAAGCACAAACATAATCTCACAGGAAATGTATTTCTATCACAAAATCAGGAATATTCACGCCTAAAAATTAATGTATTCGACTAGAGAAACTTAAAAAAATAAACATTTGACTTGAGAGTAAAGCACGACTGTTGTCTTTGGAAAAAGACGATGTATTTTAATTATCAACAATTAACGAGAGGACAAAATAATGTCAGAAATGCTTTAGCGCAGAATGTGAACTACTTCCGTCAAAATAGACAAGCCATATAGCAAACGTGAAACGTGCCAGTTATGAAAATACGTGGGAAAGTGGTCACGCTTATGACTTTAACGAATTCTTTAAGATCATAAGATTCTTCCCTTGCATAACACACACACAAGCAATGTGGTCTTTAGTTTCGCTAACGAAAAATTTCAAATACCATTTTTTTTTAATTATATAAAACAAAATTAAATAAAAATAAATATTCCTCGAAATTATTATCTATTTTTATTTTTTATAAAATTACGAGTAAAATTATAGTTGTAAAAATTAGAGAACAATTTAAAATATTAAAAAATAAATTTTTGAGATAGAAAATACAGAAATTAATTTAGAATAAAGAAAAAATAATACAAAGAAAGAAATTTAACGAATTATATAATGCGAATAAAGTGAGTTGAAAAAAATGAGTGTACTAATTATTAGGATTAAATTTATATACAAATAATGCACGCTGGAGTACAAAAAAAAATTATGAATAATATGTTGAATAGAAGTTGATACAAAGAATTTAGGTAAAATAAAAAAGGCAATTACGAAACGGTACATTGGCTACATGCACGAGGTTAATTTCAACTTAGCCGGATGAATGGAGCTCGTCAGGCAAACGAGCACATTCGACCTCACAAAAGATTCTAGACATAGATCATTCAATAAAATTCTACACAAGAGTGTTTCAAACACGTCGGTTACCTTTTGGCAGAAAAAAAGAACGAGAAGAGAAAAAAAACCCATTACATAATATTCTTTCCCTTTTTCACGATTCAAAATATTTTCAATTATCATAATTTATTTAGAAGCTTAATAAACAATTTTAATTTAAAAAAAAAATTAAAATATTTGAAAGCTTTATAAACAATTTTAATTTTAAAAAAATTAAAATATTAAAAAACAAAATATGAAAAAAATATAAAAAATAAGAACATAAAATAAAAAATAAAATGAAAAATAAAAAAGCTAATTTGTATTTTTTAATTCATTTCATCTTTTAAAATAATAAAATTAAATAATTCATTTAAAAACTTAACAAAATTTTAGTCTACTTTTATTTATTATTATTTATTCTTTTTTTTATATTTTACTTTAAAAATTGAAATTTTTAAAGTAAAATATAAAAAAAGAATAAATAATAATAAATAAATATATGTAAATAATAACAAAAAATAAAAATAAAAATAGAACTGTTAATTAAAAACATTTTAAAATCTTAACTCAAAAAAAGATTTTGCCTATTATGAAATAAATATTTTTCTTGAATGAAATAATTTTTATTTAAGTCAATTAAATGGTATTTGTTTCAAAAACTGAAATTTCTGATTCTAATAAAATGTTCTTTGATTTATATAAAAATTATTTAATTCAAGTAAATATTTATTTGATAATAGACAATTAATCGGTTTCTCGATTCAAATAAATTTTCTTCCAGAGTAAAAATCGT